AAGGATTGCTTTAGAGACATAAAGATATCTGTGTACATAAATTTGAATCGAAGACTTGACATCCATGTCTTAGCAACAATTAAAAGAGAAATTGGAAGTAAAAACTAGAAAGTGAGAAGAAAAATCAAGTGGATGGATAATATTATCGTGTGGACTGGGTGAGGCTTGAAAAACGTTAAAGAAGCCAGATGCCAAATTGATATACTAAGGCTCAGGTGAAAATGAATGAGCAAATACAATGACTTGTTGTATGCGCAAATAGAACACCAATATTGTGCAGTGAAAGATCCTGCTGAACCAGCAGTTCATTTCTTTTGAGGGTGCCGATTGATGGAGTTAATTCGACCAGCTGACTCTTACAAAGCACATTTCTGACTTCTTTTTCAATGCCATGTTCATTTGGAGCAGTGGATCTTGTTGATGCCCAGACCTTCTGTTCTTCAAATTGTCAGAGGCTGACATACTCTGGTGGATGAACTCTGGGATGCTTTGGCTGTCTCAATGCACTGACTACATGGCAAATTTGCAAGATGTTCAGACATTTGATGGGCAGCTATCCAGCATCAGGCATCCTCAGAGAAAGTCCTCAACTCTGAGTTAGAGTCAGAGACTTTAGAGGGTTCCAACTTACTTCCCTTTAATACCATTAAAAAGATTAAAACCTATTGTAACTCTCAGCTAACTATATTCCTGACCTTTGAATCTTCATACTGTCAACTATCCAGTAAATGCACTGATGGTCCGCAACAATAAACCACACTTCTCTGTAATACAATCCCACCCTGTAACAGCTGAATGCCCTTTCCAGGCACATGGCCCATCCATGACACCAACCCCTTCATCTGGACAGGAGAATGTAACCTGACCCACTCTGCCTGCTCATACGTTTATGTGCCACCTTTAGATCCTGCCAATTCGACCACTTAGCCACTTGCCACCCCACCACCTTACCCACCTGGCATTCTGACACCCTCACATCCAGCTGGCACCCTACCATCTGACCTAGCTTACACCTAAACCCTCACTAACCTGCAAGATTTTGTCTTCCACTTATTCCTTTGCCCTTTTTTTAGCCCTTAAGCTAGTCTATCCTTCCAACCATCCTCATGTCCCCTTATAGGTACTGAGTCTCAACTGATGCTTCACCCTTATGCACTCAATGAGAATTCAACTATTCACCATCATGGGCAGATGTCAGGAGCTATGCTAAGACAAAGTTGTGGTACAGTGGTAATGTCCATTGCTCTAGGTTCAAGTTCTATCTCAGGACTTGGTGACTATGGAAAATGTATCATGTTATGAGCAAGTATATTGATCATCAATCTGTGAACACTTCTGATACACCTATGTTATGGTAAAAGAAGATGAGTTTCTTGGTCACGTAGAACTGTCTGGTAGCTGCAGTGTAACAACGTTCCATGTTTAAAAAAAAGCTCCACAGGCAAATGCCATGAGCAAGTGTCCTTTTCCTTCAAAGGGCTGTAGGCTCTGAACTCATCTCCTTTTACCTTGACTCTGTCTTTGTCCTTTTCCCCCTCGGAGTCCAGGAACTCCCCACCTACATTCAGGACACCACTCATACCCTCCACCTCCTCCAATTCCCTGGCCCCCAAAATCTCATCTTCAACATGGACATCCTGTCCCTGTACACTTGTATCCCCCATGCATATGACCTAAAGACTCTTCGCTTCTTCATCTCCCTCAGGCCCAACCAATCCCCTACACGAACACCTTCATCCGCTTGTCCTTACCCTGAGCAACTTCTCCTTTAACTCCTCCCACTTCCTACAAAATAAGGGGTTGGTTATGGGCACCTGTATGGGCCCAGGCTGTGCCTGCCTCTTCGTAGGATAAGTGGAACAGCCCTTTTTCTGCTGTTACACCAGCAGCATCCTTCACCTCTTCCTCCACTACATTGATGATATACCAACGCTGTCTCATGCCTCCAAGAGGATCTTGAACCATTCATCAACTTTACTAACGTCTTTCACCTGAACCTCAAATTCACCTGGACCATCTCCAATACTTCCTTCCCCTTCCTCGACCGCTACATCTCTGTCTCCTGGTTACCACCTCAACACTGACATCTATTTCAAACCCACCAACTCCCATAGTTACCTCCACTACCCCTCCTCTCACCCACCCTCCTGCAAGAATGCGATCCCATTCGCCCAATTCCTCTGCCCCCGCTGCATCTGCTCCTGAGATGGAGCATTCCACTCCCCAAAATCCCAGATGTCCTCCTATTTCAAGGACAGCAACATTACCTCCCCACCCCACCATTGATTGAAAATGCCCTCAACCACATCATTGCATTTCCTGTACTTCTGCCCTCACATCCCCTCCCTCCAAGAAAAATAAAGACAGAGTCCCCTTGGTCCTCACATACCACTCCATCAACCTCCTCATCCAGTGTATCACCCTCCATCACTTCCACCACCTACAGTCCAACCCCATGACCAAAGAGATATTTCCCTCCCCACCCCATCTGCCTTTCATAGGGACTGCTCACACTGCGACTCTCTTGTCCGATCCACACTCCCCACTAACCCCACCACCCCCAGCACCTTTCCCTGCAACTGCAGGAAGTGTTACACCTGCCCCTAAACCTCCCCCTCACCTCCATTCAAGGCCCAAAGCAAACTTTCCACATTTGACAGGGGTTCACCTGTATATTCTCCAACCTGGTCTACTGTATCCGTTGCTCCCAATACAGCCTCCTCTACATCGGTGAGACCAAGCGCAGACTCGGGGACTGTCTCGTGGAGCATCTGCGCTCTCTATGCAATAATCAAAAACACCTTCTGGTAACCAACAATTTTAACTCCCCCTCCCACTCCCTGGGTGACATGTCCATCCTGGGCCTCCTCCAGTGACACAATGATGCCACATGCAAACTGGAGGATCAACACCTCATATTCCACCTCAAGAGCATACAGCCCGATGGCCTGAACATAGAATTCATCAGTTTCAAAATCTCCCCACTTTCTGCATCATCCCACCTTCAAACCTCCCTCTCATTCCCGCCTCCTTGACCTGATACAGCCTGCCCATCTTCTCTCCCACCTATCTGCCCCACCCTTCCCACCAACCAATCCCTACTACCCCTTACCTGCATGCACCTATCATCATCCCACCTCCCTTCCCCCAGTCCCACCTCTCCTCCCTCTCACCTCCTTTACCTGACACAACCTGTCCATCTTCTCTCCCACCCATCTGCCCCATCCTTCCCACTGACCAATCCCCATCCACCCCATCTGCATCCACCTATCACCATCACACCCACCTTCCCCCAGCCCCACCCCTCCTCCCTCTATTTATTTCCCAGCTCCCTTCCCCCTCCGCAGTTCTGAAGAAGGGTCCCCACCTGAAACGTCAACTTCCCTACTCCTCTGATGCTGTGTTCTTCCAGCTCCACACTGTGTTGGCTAGGTAATGATAGTATGTGTATTAAAACCAGTATTGAATACAATGTGAGATCTAACAAATTCAGACTGAATAAAAATTACTTTATACTACCGTTTAAGCACTCATCGATCAGATGAACTGCAAATTAGATTCAAAGTAAATATCCTGAACAATACATTTAAAAGAATTTTGCCAGAGTCGTTTTTCTATCCTATCCAACATTCTTGTTGTAACGGTATAGTTTGATGGATTTTTTTCAGCATTTCTTTAAAAGTAATTAGAAATAATCATTCAAATGGCTTAATTTATTTTACACCTTGGTTATTCAACACCAATTTGAAGAGAGTTTGTGTTTGATGTTCCCAGGTGCCGTGTTTAGTTAGTTCATAAAATTACTTCCATTCCATTTGAGTAATTCTCTTTGTGCATTAATTTTTAGTAAACTCTTCAAGGGAAAGTGAATTGTGATACATATATTTGGTAGCTATCTACATGTTTTATAAACACTAGTTAGATGAGGTTTGGACAGCTGCCATTTTGTGAGAATAGTCCACAAAGACATATCTTACAATCTCGAGATCTATGCAGGAGCATCTTAGATCACTTCTCCTGACTGTACTATCTCCAAATGTTGCAGGAAAATCAACTTATCACATCAAACTAATACTTTATCCATGGCAGTGTTATTGGGAAAGTTAGCTACACAGGTGATCCAGATCTCTACAACTTGTAGCTGTTTCTATTTTAAACATTTAGAATGGGGTGGCAGATCCCTAGAGTAAATTTCTATAGAGGTATTGCAGTATGCTAAAGTGAAATCTTCCTGATTTTCTTTATGATTGGCAGTCAATTACTTAATCGCAAGCAGGACAGCAGCAAGTGGATTGGAAATGGGTGTGAGGTTGGAGGTAAAAATTGGTATCGTTCCCCAACTTTGGAGAGTGAAAAAGTCAGTGGAGATCCTGGTCATTCGAAATAACCACTGTTTTAACCCACTATCACACCTCACCCTTCACCCACTGTACAGTATATGGTATTTGGACTTCTGATAAAGACAGGTTCAATTGTTTAGCACCATAAAGCTAAATAGGCAATCAAAATTCAATCTAAATCTAAAGAATAGCCAATCTGGTGAGATAAAAGAGTTGCCATCAGCACTCATTTTGTGATGGAAGACAGAGCAGCAACAATTATTAATAGCAATTAGTTTGACGAACCCAAAAAATGTTGTAGATTTCATTTTCCTACCGAAAATTTTCATTTTAGAATTACAGCACTTTTAAGGTTAAGTCTTGTTTTAAATTTGCAGCATTCATGATTTATTCTTCAACTAATCATGACTTGTGATTAACGCCTGGCCTGAACATCTTGCATGTTGTAATTCTTTTCTCTGAATTCATTGAGTAAAACACTGGGATGTATCAATTCTTCCATACCTGAGTATTTACTTCCTACTGTGGAAATTTCAGTTGATTTCACAGCAACAGTTAAAGAGGATCTATTTTATCAATGTATTTACAGGGCTCTTAATTGCTCTTTAATTGCACCAATATAAAATACAAAATGTTCTCTTTCCCTTTCTTGTATTACAGAAGGTACTGCTACAGAGAGCTGATTTCCAAGCATCATCTTCACAAAGTGAGTGCATGCTTTTGGTAAATAGGTGAAAGACAGTAATGAATGAAACCTAAAGTCACATGGAATATATTTAACTTTTGGAATATGGAAATTTTGCCACACTGTTAGATATACAGCTTTCCTAGTTTTTGTTTTCATTGTCTTCGAAAAAAATATAGATCAAGGGAACTATGCAACATATGGTCAATTTCATTAGAAACGGGTTTACCCTCTCCCCAAAATTTAGTTATTCCTAATATTTTGGTGGCTTTCAACATGTAGAATTTATAACATTTGCATGTTTCTTTTTAAATATTTATGTTGACAAGTGTCATAATGAAGAACTGAAGCAAATATAGGATGTAAAAATATTTTGTAAATTGCGTTACAGTATTTCTTCATTTAAAATTTTAGTCTTGTTAAGTGAAAGTAACATCAAAACAGTGTCAAAATTTTCAGACCTAAATATTGTTGGTAATGTATCTGTGTGCCTTTGTAAGGACTTCCCAGCATCAGATGATTGATTGAGTTGAACATTAAGGTCATATAGATCACACTCCACCACTGTAGTAGTAGTGAAGTGAAGCATTCTTCTTGGTCATTTAATGCCTGCTTTCTTAAAGTACTTGCGGAAGGTAATTTAAATAAACTGAATAGGCATTTATCATTGTAATGGCACTGCTATGATATCTATGGGACATCAGCTAGATGTGAGGCCGGTATTTGTGGCATTAGCAAGCTGCTGAAGGTCACTACGTGAAAATTGGCCCACTACAAGATGGTTGGCTCCTCATACAGCTAAATGCAAGAATACATTGTGGACATCACTAGTAAGACTGAAGGAAAGTGAGGTGGGTGGTATCAGTAGGCTATAATCAGTAAAGAGAGATTATAATCAGAATGCAATACGTTCCGACTGAATTTTTTTTTAATTTCCAAAATATACTTGTATTCATAAAAAAGATTTACATATACACACAGTCACAAACACAGTTCAGTTCTGTACAGTAGCATATCAAGGAAACAAAAACATTGGATTTTGACTGTATCCAACAAACCAATGACATCTATTACATGTGCAAGACTATATTTATATGCATTTGAGGCCCCGGGAGGGTCCGATAACTGAACAGACCCCCATTTAGTTTCAACATAAAGCCTCCCGACAGTGGTCTTTCCCCATTACACGTTGGCAGCAGCTGCTGCAAGCTTTAGGGCATCTCTCAGCATGGAGTCCTGGACCTTGGAATGTGCCAGTATGCAACACTCGGTCGAGGTTAACTCCTTGTTCTGGAAGGCCAACAAGTTTCGGCAGACCAGAGAGCATCTTTCACCAAGTTGATGGTCCTCGAGGAGCAGCCGATATTTGTCTCGGTTTCCGTCCCGGGGAACAGACCGTAGAGCAGAGTCCTGCGCCATGGAGTTGCAACTTTCTCCAGACTTCCTTTGCAAAGGAACATTCCAAAAGGAGATGTGTGACAGTCACTATCCCTCTGCAGCTGCTTCCAGGGCAGCGTGCAGTGGCGCAGAGAGTCCAGGTGTACATGAAGGATCTCACCGGTCGTGCCATTCTCATCACTAGCCAAGCAATGTCTTGATACTTGTTGTAGAGTTCTGGTGATGAGGCATTCTGCCAAATGACTTTGACAGTCTATTCAGAAAAACCATGTGATAGGATGTAGTCTCTCCTTTACTCGGAGGGTCTCAAAGTCACCACATGCTGACCACTTCCTGATGGACTTGTGCCTGAAGGTCTTCCTTTGCAAATTTCTTCACAAAGCACAGGTAAAATGGAACAGTCCAATTCTTAGAGCGTTCTGTAGCAACAAGGCCAGTCCCATCCTTCAAAACACCAGGAACAGGTAGAACCTCAGTACGTAGTGATATTTGGTGCAGCCGCATATAAAGGTACGAGAGTGGCATTGGTTATGTTCCACGCCCCCCTAATTCAGAGTTTTGTACGTGGAGTCCCTGCAGACACAGACCATCTTAGATCTCCAGATGAAGTGGAAGATGGCTCGGGTAACTAAAACAGCTCTGGTCCAGGGAATGGTCCAGACCTGTGCCACCTACAACAATAGCAAGAGTGCCTCACACCTGATGATCAGGTTTTTACCCCCAATGGCTAGGGAGCGGTGCTCCCAAGAGACCAGTTGCTACATCAATTTGGTGATGCGTTGCTCCCAAGATTTTGTGCATGCCCTGGCCCCTCTGATCGTTATTCCCAGCACATTCAGGTAACCTGTCCTGATGGTGAAGGGGATAAAGGATCGGTCAGCCCAGCTCCCAAAGAACATGGCCTCACTCTTGCCTCGATTTACCTTGGCTCCCGAGGCCAGTTCAAACTGGTCACAGATGTTCATTAGTCTGCACACTGATAGTGGATCTGAGAGGAAAACAGTGATGTTGTCCATGTACGGGGAAGCTTTGACCTGCAGGTCTCTGCTGCCTGGGTTAGTTACCCCTCTTAGACTTGCATTCTTCCTGATGGACTCAACAAAGAGCTATATATAACACACAAACAAGGCAGGAGAGAATGGGCAGCCCTGCCTGACTCCAAATCTGATCGGGAAGCTTTCTGATCGCACCCATTGATTTAGACTGCACTAACGATGTCGGTGTAGAGCGGTCAGATCCAGTTACAAATTCCCTCCCCAAGCCTGTTTTGGAAAGCACATCCCACATGAAGATGTGCAATATTCTGTCAAAAGCCTTCTCCTGGTACAGGCTGATAAGGCAGGAGTCCAGCTCCTATCTTGCACATAGGCAATCATCTCCCTGAGGAACATGAGGTTGTCTGAGATCATCCTACCCAGTACAGAACAGGTTTGATCAGGCCGAATCACTGATCCCAGGGCAGACCTGACCTGGTTAGCAATAACCTTAGACAGGATTTTGTAGTCTACATTCAGCAGTGAAATTTGTTGTCAATTTCTAATTTCCTCTTTCTTCCTCCCCAGGCTCCCCCCCCCCCCTCCAGCACCGCCCCCCCCCCCCCGCCCACCTCTGCTGGTAGATAAGAGTGATGATACTTTTCCTCATGGATTTGCACAGGCTATCTGACAGAAGCATACCGTTGTAGATATCCAGCAGGAACTGGCCAATCGAGTCCTACAGAACCAAAAACATTTTGGCTGGTAAACTGTCACTTCTGGGAGTTTTATTCTTTTCTAGGGACTCAAGGGCATTGGTCATCTCATCCAGAGATATCGGCTGGTCCAGGCTCTCCTGCGTGCTGTTGTCTAAGACCTCCGTGGTAGAGGACAGAAACAACTGGAAGGCCACGCTGTCTATGGGCTTTGTGTCATACGGTCTGGCATAAAAGGATTTGCTGATCCTCAGGATGTCAGACCGAGATGACATTACCGAGCCATCTTCTTCCTTCAGGCTGCTAAGCGCAGAGATCTCCTTTGCACCTTTTGGAAGAAGAAACGCAAGCACATCTCATCCTGCTCCACAGAGCGGACCCTGGACCAGAAGATTATCTTGGAGGCATCCGAGGCAAAGAGTGAGGCTTCACCTCCTGGAGATCCTCCGTGACATTGACCCCCATAATCTGCAGCAGGAGTGGTTCTACGTGGTTTTCTGGAGTTCGGACAGTTTTCCTCATATCTCTCTCCCCTCCTGAACATCTTTGAGGGTAAAGAATCTCTTAAGTTCTCCTTGACTGTTTCCCTGTCAGAGGGTGGAGGTGAGTGTAGTGGCCATCATGAAGGAAAAAGTGCTGGGGAAGCTGAAAGATCTGAAGGTGGATAAATCACCTGACTAGATGAACTGTACGCCAAGGTTCTGATGGAGATAGCTGAGGAGGTTGTGGAGGCATTGGTGCTGATCTTTCAGGAATCACTGGAGTCAGGCAAGGTCCCAGAGAACTAGAAAATGGCTTATATAATACCCCTGTTTTGGGAGGGAGGCAGAAGACAGGAAACTATAGGCCTGTTAGCCTGACTTCGGTCATTGGTAAGATTTTAAAGTCCATTATGAAGGATGAGATAGTGGAGTACTTGGAAGTATGTGGTAAAATAGGGCTGAGTCAGCACAGCTTCATCAAGGGGAGATCATGCCTGCAAATCTGTTAGAATTCTTTGAGGATGTAATGAGTAAGTTAGACAAAGGAGAGCCAGTAAATGTGATCTATTTGGATTTCCATTGACAAGGTGCAGCACAGGAGGATGCTAAATAAGAGCTCCTAGTGTTAGGGGCAGGGTACTGGCATGGATAAAGGATTGGCTGACTGGCAGAAGACAGAGGGTAGGGCTAAAGGGTTATTTTTCCCAGTATGATGCCAGTGACCAGTTGAGTTCCGCAGGCGTTAATGTTGGAACGACATTATTCACATTCTTCATGAACAACCTGGACAAAGGAACTAAGGTCATTGTTAAGTTTGCAGATTATGACACAAAGATAGGTGGAGGGTCAGATCAAGTTGAGGAAGCAGGAAGGCTGCAGAAGGACTTGTACAGGCTAGGAGAGTGGACAAAGAAATGGCAGATGGAATACAATGTGAGAAAATGTGCGATTACATGCTTTGGTAGGAAGAATTGAAGTAGACTACTTTCTAAGTGGGGAAAAGTTTCAGGAATCTGAAGCACAAAGGGACTTGGGAGTCCTAGTTCAGGATTCTCTTTTATGGTTATCATGCAGGTTCAGTTGGCAGTTGGAAAGCAAATGCAATATTAGCATTCATTTCAGGAAGGTTAGAATAAAAGAGCAGGGATGTGCTTCCAAGGCTCTATAAGATTCTGGTCAGAATGCATTTGGAATATTGTGAGCATTTTTGGGCCCTATATCTATGGAAGGATGTGCTGGCCTAGGAAGGTATTCAGAGGAGGTTTACAAGAACAAACCCGGCAATGAATGGCTTGCAATATGAGGAGCAATTCAACACTCTGGGTCTGTACTCAATGGAGTTAGAAGTATGAGGAGAGATCTTACAGAAACTTACAGAATACCAAGGGGCCTGGAGAGAGTGGATGTGGAGAAGATGTTTCTATTAGTAGGAGAGACAGCCTCAGTGAAGA